AGTATGACAGTCTCTAGATCCACCCATGTTGCTGCAGATGGCATTATTTGTTCTTTTATGGCTGAGTAATATTCCATTGTATATATGTACCACATCTTCTTCATCCACTCCTTTGTCAGTGGACATTTAGATTGTTTTCATGGCCTGGCTATTATAAATAGTGCTACAGTGACCACTGGGGTGCACTGTATGTTTTCCAATTATGTTTTTCTCCAGATATATGCCCAGGAGTGAGATAGCTAGATCATAATGGTAGTTCTCCCATCCGAGTACTAACCAGGCCCGACCCTGCTTAGCTTCCGAGATCAGACGAGATCGGGCGCATTCAGGGTGGTATGGCCGTAGACATAATGGTAGTTCTATGTTTAGTTTTTTAAGGAACTTCCATACTGTTCTCCACAATGGTTGTACCAATTTACATTCCCACCAACAGTGACTCAAATGACAACGGCTCAAGCTCAATAGGCTCAAATGATAAAGGTCCCCAAGGAGGCCCCGGGAGGGGAGGCCACTCGGAGAGAACCTGGGAGGCAGGCTCCCTGCCAGCACCCACCACCGTGGTTATAAGAATACATTTTTTTCTTGCTTTCAGATGCCTCTGTGTATTTTGTTGAAAGCAACACATTTTGTGTAGAACAGTAGATAGTTTGGTGAATGGTTTTTATGCCTAAAAATGGGCAGGCCTGCTTAGATGTGTACCACAAGAGTTTGCGTTAGTCTGGTTAGGAGTTGTGTTTGGTTGAGGTTCATCACTGCTATGATTAAGCTTAGTGGCTTTGAGTTCTGGAGCAGTACGTTGCTCTGGTGATCACTCCCCGTCAGAAATGCAGTGTCTCCTCCGACCCTGAATTTTGTACGATGCCGCCGAGTTCCGCCTCTGCAGACTTCTGTTGCTATGCTGTCCTCCCAGAACTGTTCTGTTATTCGAAGCTCAACTGCACGTGGGTCGGGACCGCCCCTCCTGGACTAAGGTGCAGCGTCAGTTACTGCGTGTAGATGCACTTACTCCCATGCCCGTCACAGGCCTGGTGCTGCTCCTCCGCCCCAGGAGTAGGGTTTTCTCTCGTTCCCGTCCATCAGCGTCCGTGACTCGTCACAGGTGCCCTGGGGGCAGCGTCTGGGGCCCTTCCCTCACAGAAGGCCGCTCGTGGGGCCAGCGAGGGGAGGCTGATGGGCTCCCCGGCCCTCCACATCCCACTGCCGGACCTGCCCCGCCCCGGGCCTTTTCTCTGAGTCCTGGTAGGGTGGGCAGGAGGGCGGACTCCACTCGTCCGCAGCCCCCGGCACGGCCCGCCGCCCCGCCAGCCCGCCCTCGGCCTCTGCCGGTCATTGATGCCATCGGTCATTCGCCGAGCTGCCTCCCGCCCGCTGCTGGCTGGGATCCCAGAGCTGCCCGACTGCAAACCAGGGCCGACCGCGCCGCTCGCCCGGGGGCGCCGGCCCCTTCAACGGCCAGTTGCAACTTCAGCGCCGATGAGGGTGAAAAAAGTCATGATTTGAAGTTAATCTGGCTTTTACGTAGAACGGTGGAAGCAGTATTCCCTTTAGCTCTGCATTTTAGAATTGGGAAGCTGGAAATACCGTGGTTCTTATATATTTTAATTAAAAACATAAGTAATTAATTTCAGATTCACGATTCAGAAAGTAATGGGCCATTTTTAGTTTTCTATCCAAAAGTATTTTTAATTATAAAAGTGATGAGATTATAAAAAAATCCAGGAAATAGAGAACTGAAAGAGCCGTGTGGATTTCTGTGCTGCTGCTTCAGAAAGACGTTCCTTTTGCACTTAGAATACTAATACTAGTAACATTTTCAAGTATAAATAATACTTACCAAAATACTGCTTTTCACTCCCTGCTGTAGCAACAAACTCTTACAAATAAGACTCTTTTGGACCTTCTTTTTTCTCAATTCTCATTTCTTTGAGTTTATATAAAATCACAGTACTGAATGAATTTAAGTGATTAGGAGTTAAAGGTTGAAATTAATTTTCTAGGACTTAATGGTGGAAAGAGGTGGGTATGAATGCAGTATATTGACTGCATTAGGACGACTGCATTGTCCTATCTCCTATCACTCTCGTAGAGCAATCCTCTGCACAGACTTTGAGCCACAATTCACCTGATTATTTCCTTTCTTCCAGTTTGAAACTGAAAGTTAGGGAAAGACCAAGGGAGAGGGGAAACTGGCTGGAAGCAGGGTTTGAAGACTAAAGTGATCTGGAGCGCACTGGGAAGGCCCAGAGGGATCGGGCGGAGAGCGAGCGAGGCGGGAGGGGGGGCCGGGATGGGGAACACATGTAACTCCATGGCTGATTCATGTCAATGTAGGACAAAACCCACTGCAATGTTGGAAAGGAATTAGCCCCCAACTAATACAAATAAATGGAAAAAAATTTTTTTTTAAAGAAAAAAAAATAAAGTAATTTGGAGATTTGAGGAGTTAGCACTTAGCCATTGCAGGTCCTGTTCCTCATTCATCTATTTTAGGATGAACCCCCAACATTAAACTGATGGGGGAAATGTCTGTAAGATGAGAAAGATCTCTTCTGGTTTTTCTGGGGAGGGACTAACAATTGTAGCAGCACTTAGCAAACTTTTTTCAACATCCCCACTTTAAAGTTTAGAAAATCGCCACCTCAGGATTTTATTTTCAGTTCTGAGAAAATCAACTTGAATCCTAGAACTAAGTAACCTTCCTTTGAACAAAAAGACAGATGACCAATGTTTTTAAATTGCTGGGTTTTATTAAGATATTGGCAAAATTTCAACATACTTCTTACCTGAATGAACAGTTTTAAATAAAATATGAAGGATCACTCATGATTACAACTGAACTCAAAAGTGAGCTGCAGAGAAGGTTTATAAATTGATAAAATTGGCTTGGTAAGAAATGATTCACTTCACTTGCTCAACTCCATAGAGAATTCTTTGCAGAGAAATATCATGAACAAGAGAACAAAGCCTGTCTCTCACCAAAGAGCACCTAGAGTAAGAGTTAGCAATGATGTATCTGTAGATTATTTAATAAATCAAAGTTTATTATTTTCCTTTTCCAGAACAACTGCTGTGTCAGTCTGGAGTTCCCTATCTTATTTCATATTTTCTAATTAGTACAATAAATAGTCTTTACAATAGAAGATAAAATGCTGCTAGAGAAGTACCAATTTTTTTTCAACACAGTATCATTTGTCTCAAAAAATAGTCATAATACTGGCAGTACTTTGGTTCTATTGGGAAAAAAACATTTAAATTATTCACAGGTCAGAAGGAAAGAGTGGGTACTTGTCCTTTAACATCACGTGATTTTAAAAGGTGAAAAAAAAGTATGTTCTTTCTTTAGCTAACTGACAATCCAAAGAGTAATTCTCCTAAATTGTAGGGTTAAAACTGTAGTATTCCTTTTTTATGGCCTTGCTTCCATGAGAATGATCACTGAGTGAACAAATTATGTTTAAACATTAAAATAATAATTTAGATCACTTTCTCACAAAGCCTCAGCAAGCCTTTGCTGGGGAAGGAAGTACCTGAACCACAGCAGTTTGATCTGTAAACACTTAACTTCTTTATGCATCATTTCATCTGCCCACCGGATGCTGCGCTTCTTACTGGCACAGTGTTCCAACAAAGGAGTGCTGTTGGCATGAAGATGCAGTGACACTATACCACCACGTTGACAGTGGACCACTATAAATGTGGTCAGAATCAGACTCAGGGTTGACACTGACATTGCTGACATTGTCCTTGGTAAAGGTGTTACTTTCGAGGATCCTTCTAGTTAAATTAAATGCAACAGTAACTGTACATTAATTCAAGGACAATGGATGGCACTTCTAGGTAAAGGAAAGATATATACATGTATTTCCACCCTTCTTTTCAGTACAGACCTAGACAGGATTAACAGCCCCAGTGCTGGGTGCTGTAATTTTACTTAACCTTAGATTGCTCTTAAAAGTCCACATCCGGAAAGTGAACAAAGGAAATTAGGGACCGGTTGCCTTTGAAACTCACAGTGAATGTACAAGGAGTTCATGTGACTTCAGTCAGCGACTTGAAGTCTGTTTCCCTAACCAGTACTACACTCTCTTTTTAATATTTGTTTTACTATTTCCTATTCTAACGAAACTTCAGCAAGCAAACAAATTGATGCAGATCATGTTAAATCGTAAAAGGGATACTGCCACTCTTAAGGACTGGGTGTAGATCTTCTCCACCGTCACTAAATTACACAATGAATAGAAGTACAAAACACATAATTCACAGACTATATACCTCAGCATTAACAGTTAATATATATTATATACTTTTATATCTGTCTAATATTTTTACAATCACCAGATACACCATCATTAAATACAAGTTACAGAAATGTGTAGATACCATTAGTTAGAGGGGTACTTATTGCTTACATCAGCAAGCAGCAAATAAGGGCACAGGATTTGAACTGAAGGGAGCTACTTTCTATCACCAGTGGCATTAATGTATAACACTGCGTTTCACAAAGCACTGCTTTTTATCTAGTTTATAGACAGACCCAAGAGCAGCATATGTCAGACCAATAACCACTACTTTAATATGTATTATAGAATTTTAAAGGACTTACCTTACAAGTGGTACCTAACTACTCTATAAATATGCATGTTGTGAACAAATGAATAGTTGCTAATTTGTACATTATTGGCTTATAATGTGACCACACTAGAACTACTTTTATTTTCTAGAGGGCTACTGGTATGAGAAATGGAGTTAACACTGCTTATGTAGTTACACCTACAAAATTCAGACCCTTAAAGATACCTGTTACTCCCAATTTCATCCAACCATTTTTCCCACTGAAGAAAACCTATCACTTGTACCTTCTTTCACCTTCTTTATTCTGATCAAAATCATTAGCAATAGACAACTACAGAAGAATCTTTTTACAAACTTTTTAACTTGGCTAAGTGCTTTGGACTATTATATATACCAATGTTCTGCTGCCTGTTTTCTTGTTTCCCTAGATAATTTGATTTGAAACTGACACTGCACCTGATGGGTTGTTAACATGATCTAGGCTTCAGAAAATGACAGATGTGAGGTCCATGGATGGGGGTAAAGCCTCGGGATGGTGAAAAGACTCTGGTACTATGGTTGGATTCATGTGTGCTCCCTGCTTTTCAGCCATGTCTCACAAGACTTGAGAAAAGAAATGACTTCAAAAAAGAAAAATACTGAAAATCTCTACTTACATCCAAATTTTAAAAAATAAAATCTGTAGATTAACAATCTGTTGCTGAAGTGAATCTTTTATTTATTTGCTATAGCTACCCTGGCACCCCCAAATATGCTACAGTCCCCTCTGTTTCTAAAGTCCAGGAATCTCAGTCCTCCGTCCTGAGTCTGGGGAACATGCAGTCGTCGTATCGCGCTCTGTGAACCTCTCGGCAGGAGCAGCCCGTGTCTCCCGACAGCACGCGGAAGCCGGCGGCGCCACGCCTGACTGGGAGAGGGCAGAACATCCTGCGGAGACACTTTGTGATTCTCAGAAGCAGGCTGCTGCACTGAATTAACCTGATTATTAGTTTATTTGCTGCCTCTAGTTGCAGATATGGTTCCTACTTGAAACCGCAGAAATGGCAAAAAACAGACAATTTCAAAATATCAAATGTAAATAAATATTGAAATGAGCAACACGTGTCCTGGCTCTGGTCTGAAGATGCAGGACTCAAATTTTCAACTAAACAGACCTCAGCTGCAGTCATCTGCATTCTACTTTGCACTTGGCCTCTGGGCTCACTTTAGGCAGTTACTTTCAGCCTCTTCCATACCAATTATTTCATTCCCTCAGGGGAAACAATTTTAGAGAAGTTAAAACTAGTATTTTTCATCCTCCAGAACCACTTATTTTATTGTAGTATATGCCTTTACTGTCTGTGAACTTTAAAAAAAATAAGCCAGAAAAAATAGAAATACTATTTGATTTTCTTTTAAAATGGCAACTGATTCTAGTATATTTGTACCTGAAATCATCTCCATTAAACAAGTTTTTATTCCTGAGATGAAGGTACAGTGAAAAACGTTAGCATCATAGGTTAAAGCCAATTGACAGCGGTCTTCTAAAAAACAATTCTGTCAAAAGCACCATAACGGGTTATGAAACTCCCAAATAGCTATAGCCCTAGGAAATGCTTAATTCAAAAAATTTTCATTGTTGGTCTTTTATGTTAGAGGAAAAAAATTAGTGAATCTTTTTGACTATATACCACCTCACAAGTCTGAGAATATGACATTTTTACACTAGTTTTCTACTTTCATTTTCTCCAGTTAAAACCCATATGGCTTTTAGTCTTTTACCTACCAAAAAAAAAGGGAGAGGTTTTCCCTCATAGTTCCCAGTCTTTTGAGGAACATTCCTCAAATAGCTCTAATTCTGCATTAAGTTTTCCAGATATATATTAGGCACATCAGACCGAATTTCACCTGCATCAAGATTTCAGCACTATATATCCTGACTGAAATAATTTAACTCGCAAGCCTCCACTAGTGACGTGACGGGGTCTTGGGGGGGGTGTATGTAGGTATAGAGACACATCACAGGGACCAGTGGTATAATTTTGCTAGTGAAACCGCCAATACTGTTTTTTATTAGATTGAAAACACTGTATTGAGTTTCCTAGAGATCTATTTACATTTAAGAGTTGAGCCATCCATGGCTCACTATAATGAAGCACACATATTTCAGAAATATCTACTTTGTTTCTATTCTGATAGTGGTATCTTTACTGGGGGAGAGCTAGCTAGCCTACTTTAGGGAGAAAGGATTATATTTTAAAGCTCCAGGGAAGATCTGGGTATGGAGTGTCGTTATTCTTTTTGAGCTTCCTCACTATGTTTTCACTGTATCCTTTCCAGCTATTTTGCCTCCATGGCAGAGAACTTCTTAACATCCTATTTCTCTTCCCATTTCGAATAAGTGAGGACAGGCTAATGCCTGTTTTCTGGGAAGACTCTTGAGCAGAGAGAAAAGAATAAAACTTTGGATTAAACCTGAATCCATGCCGCCTCTTTTTGTAATGGTAGTATAAGTGAGACAACCTAGAAACTCTCTTTCCCAGGAACTTGAACTGTTCGTTTTCCAGCCTAGAACAAACAGGAGGCAAGCTCTCCATGCTGCATACCTGCTGCCCTGTTAAACCCACATTAAAAGAAGAGAGAAACTCTCCAGCACCACTCCATTCAGGCAATGATGATGGAACTGATTTTTTCTCCATTATTACCTCATTAATAAGATTGGCTCTCTTTGGTGCACCAGGACCAAACAGCTCAACTGGTGGCAAAAACTGGGCACCATGAGGCTTGCTTGTTTCTATCTGTGTGAGATCTAGGTAGCCCGGGTCTTCCAGCACGCTGCTTTGGGACCCTGGGCTCAGGCTGGTTCTATCCGTGAAAGAATCCACACGCCCCTCGTAGCCCAGATCGGCCGGGGCAGAGCACTGGTGCTGGGGCCAGGGGCGCTTGCACTCCCCATGACTCTCCTTGTCATCCCCACCAGCTTCTTGCCCTCCTTGGAAAGAGTTCTCTGTCCAATCTGAGTCCTCACTAACATTTACAGCTTTGTTCATGTCCCTCAGGAAAACCACAATAACAGTGATGTTATCACTTGACCCTGCATCACGAGCTGATGCCACTAACTTGTGGGCAACCATGCTGCTGTCTCCATTATTCTCCTTCAAGTGGTCGGACACGACTTTCACTGCCTCGTCAGGGTTCACGGTGTCGTAGAAGCCATCGCAGGCCAGAATGAGGTAGTCTTCAGTTCCATCCAGAACAGTAGAGGCAGAATCTGCATCCCCACAGATATATGGCTTATGTTCAGCATCTCCTGCAGGAATGAGAAAACAGGTCATTCTGGTTTATCTTGCAGGTCAGAATGTTCATGGTCAGCTCTAATGTCCTGAGCAGAGAAGGGCCCTCTGTTGAGGGAACAGTATTAGCAAGACACACAGGCAACTGGTAGGGAGTACTTTGTAGTTGAATATTTGGTGCAGCAACAGACTGGAGAACTCGGGCCCAGCTAAGCTAGGTTTCTGTCACCAGACTACTGCGGCAATGGATCATCTGCAATGCATTTTAGAACTTCCAGGTCCAGAGCACTTCCAGACCCCTTGTTTATTCCTTTAGTACTTGGGGAGAGCCTCAGCAAACGGGTCCTTTGCCTGTCGGGTAACCAAATAACATCACTACAAGGGATCCTCACTGGCTTCTCTCTTTGAAAAACATGGAGTACTGAGCAACAGTTCCTAGATTAGGGTATCTTAATTTGTTGGTAGTTTGTTTGTTTGTTTACAAAGTGCTTTATCATTCTTAAAGCAGTAGCATATAGCTTAGTGGTCAAGAATGCAAGCAGCAGAGTCAGGATGCCTGGATCCAGGTCACAGCACTTTAAAGACTCTCTTCAGTTCCTATCCTCTCTATTGCACTAAAACTGAACTTTCTGACTGCTGCTGCCAAGTTGCTTCAGTCATGTCCGACTCTGTGCGACCCCACAGATGGCAGCCCACCAGCTCCCCCGTCCCTGGGATTCTCCAGGCAAGAACACTGGAGTGGGTTGCCACTTCCTTCTCCAGTGCATGAAAGTGAAAAGTGAAAGTGAAGTCGCTCAGGCATGTCCGACTCAGCGAGGGGAAGATAAAATGAACATAAGTATACTTACTTAAATGATGTGGTCATATTGTCATCGTTTGTGGTTTCTCTTATGGGTTCTCTCTTACCCTAGTAAAGTTCTCTCCAGTATTTCACATCTTTGTTTAATCTCAATAGGAACATTACGGATAACTCTGTTAGAACCACCGTGGGCCACATGCCCTACCCAGCAGACCACACAATAGGATACTCTAAACAACAGATAACTTAATATTTAATTACCTGGGTTAGTTTATCTGCAAGGTAAGAAGCTAGTCTTTTTCATACAGTCGCAAGACCCATCTTCCTCAAGTATGGTTTTGATCTTGTCAACTTTAGTTCTATACTATGCAGTCTTCCAGTTAAGTTCAATTCAGCTCAGTCGCTCAGTCGTGTCAGACTCTTTGCGACCCCATGAATCGCAACACGCCAGGCCTCCCTGTCCATCACCAACTCCTGGAGTTTACTCAAATTCATGCCCATCGAGTCGATGATGCCATCCAGCCATCTCATCCTCTGTCATCCCCTTCTCCTCCTGCCCCCAATCCCTCCCAGCATCAGGGTCTTTTCCAGTGAGTCAGCTCTTCACATCAGGTGGCCAAAGTACTGGAGTTTCAGCTTCAGCATCAGTCCTTCCAATGAACACCCAGGACTGATCTCCTTTAGGATGAACTGGTTGGATCTCCTTGCAGTCCAAGGGACTCTCAAGAGTCTTCTCCAACACCACAGTTCAAAAGCATCAATTTTACGGTGCTCAGCTTTCTTCACAGTCCAACTCACATCCATACATGACCACTGGAAAAACCATAGCCTTGACCAGACGGACCTTTGTTGACAAAGTAATGTCTCTGCTTTTTAATATGCTATCTAGGTTGGTCATAACTTTCCTTCCAAGGAGTAAGTGTCTTTTAATTTCATGGCTGCAATCACCATCTGCAGTGATTTGGGGGCCCCCAAAAATAAAGTCTGACACTGTTTTCACTGTCTCCCCATCTATTTCCCATGAGGTGATGGGACCAGATGCCATGATCTTAGTTTTCTGAATGTTGAGCTTAAAGGCAACTTTTTCACTCTCCTCTTTCATGTTCATCAAGAGGCTTTTTAGTTCCTCTTCACTTTCTGCCATAAGGGTGATGTCATCTGCACATCTGAGGTTATTGATATCTCTCCTGGCAATCTTGATTCCAGCTTGTGCTTCTTCCAGCCCAGCGTTTCTCATGATATACTCTGCATATAAGTTAAATAAGCAGGGTGACAATATACAGCCTTGATGTACTCCTTTTCCTATTTGGAACCAGTCTGTTGTTCCATGTCCAGTTCTAACTGTTGCTTCCTGACCTGCATATAGGTTTCTCAAGAGGCAGGTCAGGTGGTCTGGTATTCCCATCTCTTTCAGAATTTTCCACAGTTTATTGTGATCCACACAGTCGAAGGCTTTGGCATAGTCAATAAAGCAGAAATAGATGTTTTTATGGAACTCTTGCTTTTTCGATGATCCAGCAGATATTGACAATTTGATCTCTGATTCCTCGGCCTTTTCTAAAACAAGCTTAAACATCTGGAAGTTCTCGGTTCACGTATTGCTGGAACCAGGCTTGCAGAATTTTGAGCATTACTTTACTAGCGTGTGAGATGAGTGCAATTGTGCGGTAGTTTGAGCATTCTTTGGGATTGCCTTTCTTAGGGACTGGAATGAAAACTGACCTTTTCCAGTCCTGTGGCTACTGCTGAGTTTTCCAAATTTGCTGGCACATTGAGTACAGCACTTTCACAGCATCATCTTTCAGGATTTGAAATAGCTCAACTGGAATTCCATCACATCCACTAGCTTTGTTCGCAGTGATGCTTTCTAAGGCCCACTTGACCTCACATTCCAGGATGTCTGGCTCGAGGTCAGTGGTCACACCATTGTGATTATCTGGGTCATGAAGATCTTTTTTTGTACAGTTCTTGCCACCTCTTCTTAATATCTTCTGCTTCTGTTAGGTCCATACCATTTCGGTCCTTTATCAAACCCATCTTTGCATGAAATGTTCCCTTGGTATCTCTAATTTTCTTGAAGAGATCTCTAGTCTTTCCCATTCTGTTGTTTTCCTCTATTTCTTTGCATTGATCACTGAGGAAGGCTTTCTTACCTCTCCTGACTATTCTTTGGAACTCTGCATTCAAATGGGAATATCTTTCCTTTTCTCCCTTGCTTTTCGCTTCTCTTTTCACAGCTATTTGTAAGGCCTCCTCAGACAACCATTTTGCCTTTTTGGATTTCTTTTCCTTGGGGATGGCCTTGATCCCTGTCTCCCACACAATGTCACGAAGCTCTGTCCATAGTTCATCAGGCTCTCTGTCTATCAGATCTAGTCCCTTAAATCTATTTCTCACTTCCACTGTATAGTCATAAGGGATTTGATTTAGGTCATACATAAATGTGGTCCACTGGAGAAGGGAATGGCAAACCACTTCAGTATTCTTGCCTTGAGAACCCCATGAACAGTATGAGAAGGCAAAATGATAGGACACTGAAAGAGGAACTCCCCAGGTCGGTAGGTGCCCAATATGCTACTGGAGATCAGAGGAGAAATAACTCCAGAAAGAATAAAGGGATGGATGAACCAAAGCAAAAACAACACCCAGTTGTGGATGTGACTGGTGATAGAAGCAAGGTCTGATGCTGTAAAGAGCAATATTGCATAGGAACCTGGAATGTTAGGTCCATGAATCAAGGCAAATTGGAAGTGGTCAAACAGGAGATGGCAAGAGTGAATGTCGACATTTTAGGAATCAGCAAACTAAAATGGACTGGAATGGGTAAATTTAACTCAGATGACCATTATATCTACTACTGTGGGCAGGAATCCCTTAGAAGAAATGGAGTAGCCATCATGGTCAACAAGAGAGTCCAAGATGCAGTCCTTGGATGAAATCTCAAAAACGATAGAATGATCTCTGTTTGTTTCAAAGGCAAACCATTCAATATCACGGTAATCCAAGCCTATGCCCCAACAAGTAATGCTGAAGAAACTGAAGTTGAACGGTTCTTTGAAGACCTACAGGACCTTTTAGAACTAACACCCAAAAAATATGTCCTTTTTATTATAGGGGACTGGAATGCAAAAGTAGGAAGTCAAGAAACACCTGGAGTAACAGGCAAATTTGGCCTTGGAGTATGGAATGAAGCAGGGCAAAGGCTAATAGAGTTTTGCCAAGAGAACACACTGGTCATAGCAAACACCCTCTTCCAACAACACAAGAGAAGACTCTACACGTGGACATCACCAGATGTTCAACACCAAAATCAGATTGATTATATTCTTTGCAGTCAAAGATGGAGGATCTTTATACAGTTAGCAAAAACATGACCAGGAGTTGACTGTGGCTCAGATCATGAACTCCGTATTGCCAAATTCAGACTTAAATTGAAGAAAGTAGGGAAAACCACTAAACCATTCAGGTATACAGTCTTCTAGTAACCTGTTAAAGCTAATTAAAGCTTCCAATCATGGGGATTCAGTGTCCTCCACCAACCCACTTTACTAAATGCCCCCATCCCCTACTCCACCTGACTGTATTATTATCATTATTTTCTGAATTCTAGCTCTAAAAATAAATGTGATCTGAGTCATACTGTTCCCAAAAATCTTGTTTTACTGCTTCAATTAAAAGGCTACTGCAACTGTTAGTTTGGAACAGAACATACAAAGATTTTCACAAGAGAAAATGCTGCCAGAATTCTGGCTTTTCACCTGCTCTACTGTGAGATGTCAAATTCATGACATTTTGCTCCCAAATTTGGTAGAAGGGCATGATTATCCATTTCATGGTAGAAATGGCACCATGGCTTTTGTCTTCTACCGCCTCTCTCCATGTGCTGGAAAACATATCATGGCTCTTGTCAACTCTGGATCATCAATCCAAAGGGCTAATGGGGAGAAACAGTTGAAATGCCTTTTATTTTTAAAGTATTAGTGTCGTTTATTTTCTGAGTAGAGTTGAACTCTGCTTAGGAGTCCTTTTTCTTGTCTTTATTTATCCCCCTGATTTATTCCATGAGCTTTCCAAATCTCTCTTACATTCTTCAACTCTTTCCAATTAAGTTATTGGATTTTGGTAGATGGCCTAATTTCCTACTTCAAAGAAAATTAAGTTTACCAGGCCTGAATTCCCTCGACGACTCCTCCTGACTTAAAAACAATCTCTAGCAATTTACCTATATCCACAACCATTTTCTGTTTTCAAAATTCTGTGACTTTTTAAACTCACTTGACCTTTGCAGCATTTGACCCTGTTGACTACACACTCCTAGAAAAACCCCCTTCCCCAGCATCTGATACCCTGCGTCTGTGTCTCTTCCTGATTTTCTTTACTGACTCCTTCACTTAATAGCACCCCCCCCAAAAAAAATAATAGCACCCCAAATCACTGTATGCTAAAACTGTGCCAGGCAGGGTTCTAAGTGTGTGTGTGTATTATACCATCTAATACAAAAACAATGAGTTAGGTACTATTACTGTTCCTGCTTTACAAAGGCACAAACAGATATAGAGAAGTTCAGTAAAGTCACCTAGGCCCACAGCTGGTGCAGAGGCAGAACCAAGAGACAAACCCAGAGAGCGTGACTCATGCTCTTCTACCGTGAGGAATGAGTCTCCTCCTTGGTCTCTCTTCACACTACATATTCCTGGGCAGTGTCAGCCATTCCTGTGGTTTCAACTACTGCACACACACACATACACACAAAATCACTTCACAGGTTGCTAATATTATTTCCAAAATGGGATGATTTCCCAAATCTCTATTTCCAACTTACAACCCTGCTAACCTCCAGATCTGTATTTCCAGCTGCATATAAATTACCTTCCAAGACGTCCCACAGGCACCTAGAATACAAATATGTCCAAAATGAACTCATTATCTGCCCTCCCCACCCAAACTGCTGCTGCTTTATTACAAACGTTTTATCATCTTAGTGACACAAGTCAGAAACCTAGAAGTTACCTTTCCTCTTTCCCCCCAAAACCTGTCATTTCTGTCTCATCAAATTGTACCCTCTTCTGTATTTTTTTTTTCAGCTGTGCACATCTCTGAATGATCTCTCATCTAGGTTTTTCACTCTAGTTCATCTTCCATAATCATTACAAATATTTATAATTACAAACCTGACCACATGGGGCCCTCAGCTTATTCACCCAGCAAAGTCCAGACCCCGAGCCTGGCATTCAAGCCCCTTCACACTCTGGTGCTGACACTTGCCTCTTCCCACCCACACCCTCCGCCCCAGCCCTCTGAGACATCCACGTGTTTGCACGCCTCGCTCCAGGGCGTCCTTCTCTAGGTCCTGTCCTCAGGTCCACCTCAGAAGTCACTTCCTCTCTGAAGTCAACCCCTGTTCCTCTTAGACTCTCACTTATTCAAGGACATTGCTTTTTCCCCTTGGGTCATATTTTTAGAAGAAATGACAAGGATTCTCTAGTAAAGTTGCTTCTATAACAAGCATTAAAGTTACCTCGCAATGCTCTGCAAAGACAGTAAGATCAAGAGAAAAGGTCTTTGGAGTTGTCAAAAACAATTCTATATGAGGCTGTGTTTCAGAAATCAGAAATTTCCCCCTTTTGGCCTTATTCCAGATTCCCTAATAACTCCCTTGGTTTAAGGTGAAGCCAACTCTCAATTTTTCAAGAGGTATTTGCAGAACCTTTGAGCTTCCTCTTTCTCTCTCAGCCTTCTGCTGCTCACATTTGGGCCACTTCACAGCTTGCCAGCACCTTCCCGAAGAGTGGGAGGGAAATCACATCAGTGGTGAAACGGAATCAGTCCTTTGAGATATTATTAATGTTCTGGAATTTTTTGGTAATGATAGGCAAAATCTGGGTATCAGACATCAACTCCATTTATCCATGTTATCCTATGTCAAATCACTTCATTTCTTTAGGAGGCAGTGACTGAGAACTGTAGCCTATGTGTATACACGCATATTACCCATAGAGACACACACACTGATCTGTTCTTTAAAAAAAAAAAAAAGAACAAAAAAAGTGAGGCTAAGCCATGAAACCCAATGAAACAGACCCAGGTGCAAAAGTGAGGCAGAAACAGGACTAGAGCCCAGTTCTCTGAACCACACCCTTGCATTTTGTCCAGTCAACTGAGCTCTTTACTCTCTAAATCTTCAACAAAGAGTTTCATCGACTTTACCCTTCTTTTAAAGAATTTGGGTTCCAGGGAAGTAGATTCTCTGAAACCCCAGGGTAATCTAACAACTACACTCCACACAGAGTAGAATTAGTTTTCTCATTTTAATATAGTAAAAATTATTTTCACCCAAAAAGCACATTGTTTGTGTCATTTTAGAATTCAATGAAAAAATGAAAGATATAAGCAAGATAAAATATAGGGACTTTCATTTTCTGGAAAATACTGATTTAAGCTAAATTTGACCCAAAATGTAATGGAAAATGAGGATCACTGGGTTTTAAGCAGATTTGTATTCCAGAGATTAAAGGCTTCCCTTAAAAAAAAAAGAAACTAGTAAGTCCTGCATCTCTTAATATAGTTCCCTTTTAAAAATGGTATTTATATAAATGTGTAGGTTAAACAATTAATTAAAAGAGGCATTCGACAATAACAAGCACTTTGAAAATTTAAGTTATTATCTCAGGTTCCCTTGTTGTATCAGATTAATTAATATTAAGAACAGTGTTCTGGAAGAGGACAGTTTGGAGAAAAAATAATTAATTGGTTTTTCCTACCAATAGCTCTGGAGACAGACAGACTTCCATTCACCCTCCAGGCACCAAACCAGACCACACAGCCTCCAAGGGCCTCAATCCGCTGCTTTTCATCCTGCATAGCAATGCAACAGAAAGAAGCAGATAATTGGACTCAGGATTTATTCAGCCATCTTAACAGCACACAACAGACATGATACTCATCGGCTCCCCGGGACGGGCTCTCTTACGCTTCCTCTGAAAGGTGGGCTTGCTGAGATAATGGTGACAATCACAACTGAGAAGTAATAACTAGGAAACTGCCTGTGGTGTGTGCCCTAACAGAACAGAGCATACTCACCTCTCTGTCCGGCTTGTGTGGCTTCATCAGTTCAACAGCTTGGCCCTTCCTCACAAGCATAACCTGGGAGTCACCCACCCAGGCCACGTGTAACATGTTGCCTCTGATAAAAGTCACCACTCCCGTGGTCCCACATCTTAAGCTCTGAAAGTCATGTAAACAAAACAAGTCAGTGAAAATCAGCAGACGCCAAATTCTCACTGAGAAGCAATTTAGAGATAACACAGACTTTTCAGATGGAAGCAAAACTACCAGTAACTTGACAAATAAAATAGCAATTCCTATTTCTCAGTGCATTTCTACATGCTTGATGTACTTATATGTGCACACACACATGTAGATTTTATCTATGATATGCAAGGCAGAGACAATTATCAATTCACTTTATTTATTTTTTGACCATGCCATGCAGCATGCAGGATCTTTCCTGACCAGGGATGGAAACTGTGCCCCTTATGTTGGGGGTGTACAGTCTTAACCACTGGACCACCAGGGGAGTCCTCTATTCCATTTCATACACAGGGAAGAAGACTATGGCAGGTTATGTGACTTGCCTGAGGGCAGGTACAGGTCAGTACTGAACTAAATTTTTCCCTCCCGGTCCAGTGCTAAACCACGGTATCAACCCTTAGAGTAACGATCTCCATATTCTGGTCTCTGTCTTGTTACTGACCTACTGTATGTTCAGGGGGAGGGTCCTAGCTTTACAAAATAGCATACAAAGCATCTGGTTGGTACACAGCAAATGCTTCCATACTCTGGATATTAAAATAGGAGCCAAGAGAGAACACACATTCCCTGGAGTGCTAAGATGCTTCTACTTTTAAAAAAGAAAACCAAAATCTACCATAATTTTAGGGACCTTTGCTTTTGGAACATTGCATGAAAAACTAACATCAGCCTGGAATTTCAGAGCTCAGTACCACTGTACTTAATGCTCTTGATACTACTATCCTAAAATGACATTTCACATGAAAAAAAAAGTGAAAGTTATAGTCACTCAGTCTTGTCTGACTCTGTGACCCCTGGACTGACCGTAGCCCACTAGGCTCCTCTGGCCATGGAATTCTCCAGGCAAGAGTACTGGCGTGGGGAGCCAATCCTTTCTCCAAGGGACCTTCCTGCCCCAGGGATCCAACCCTGGTCTCCTGCATTGCAGGCAGATTCTTTACCGTCTGAACCACCAGGGAAGCCCTCCATTTGACATGAGTCACCATCAAATAAGTATGACTTTTTGTTCCTAAGGACCTGGCCTAAATTAGAACCAGTGCATCTAGGGTGGCAGCAGGCCCCTTGCATCCAAGGAGAAAGCAACTTTTCATTCCCCTGTATAGGCACAGCTTGTCTCAGATCCTCCCCCACCAATAACATGTCTTCCCACACGGGATGTGCAACACCTCAGCCCCTGGGACACGTGATAAAGACACTTGAGTGCGTATGCCCCGGAGGGAACAGGAGGCAGGGCCGCTGCTTTCTCCCCAGCAGTTAGCAGCACATGGAAGCACGAGGGGGAGGGAAGGAACTGCTGAGATGAACCCAAATTATTCAAGAGAACTGTTGGCAAGACCGGGAGACAACCAGAATCACTGGCAAAGCAAATGAGGTGAGCGCGGTCAGGAAGAAAGCCGTGATTCTGAGGACACAGGAGGAAAGGGCTACAACAGAGGGTGAAGGCGACTACGTCGACGATGGCAGCCAGCTCGCACGGGCAGGTCACGTCCTCAGTCACGGTGAGGACAGCCGGCCGCTCCAAGCCTGCTGGTCTCCCCCCAAAGGCTGGCCAAGTCTGAGGGCAACAACTCTGTTGTTCTAGCCCACCTCTATCTGCACAGCCCAGTGGTTACTGTGTTGGGTCTGTGTATTATTCTAACTAAACCCGGGGTGCAGGTGGGGAGACAGAATACTGCCCGTGCTTAACACCAAGTAGAGCTGAATCACTGCTTAGTTAATGCCAAGCCCCATGATTGCCCTACAGCATAACAATGAGATCAAAGAAATGGATTAAAGGATTACCCTGTTCTGTCCAAGCCCATTTCAAAAAGAGTTAATGCTTAAACAGGGCAGGGGTCTTATCTTTCTGTGTGTATATAATTCTGCAATTACTTTTTAAAATTAAAAAAAATATTCTCTTTCTGTTGGTCCCTAGTTGGAAATGAGTATAAAGTCCTGTAGTTAATTAGGTACCAATGCCCAGAATGATAATTAGATTAAAATCTTTACTTTTAGATCTTAATATAGCCCCTGTCATTCATTCAGAGTAAAACCTTAGGTCTGATTAACCTTAAGAAATTGGGACGTGAGCTCTGACTTTTCTTCCTGTTAAGAGAAAACCAGTTCAAGGAGCATCTAAGGATTCACTCTCTCCAGGCAAAAGTTTTCCTCAAGAGACACACAGCGAACACTGCCAACCCATTCAGAACTAAATGCATGGAGAAACCCCAGCTGCTGTTTCTGTTTTAGACCATTGTTTTAATCACCATATCCAGACTTTGTCAGCAAAAGTCTGCTTAGAGAGCTGGTCCTGGTGTGAACCTGACAGGCAATGGTGAGTAAGATAAAATTCACCTGCCAAATCCAGCAACCAACTGGCTCTTTAGAAAATTATAGCTTGGAGATTCTCTATAGTACATCATAGCACCCCACTAAATCTATTCCTAAAGAGGGAATTAGGCCTACAACAGAATCCAATACTGCGTGTCAAGAACGTAGTTTGGAAGATAGCTTTAAATAATGTCTATCACAAAAGAGAAAATCCAAAATAGCCTTTCAGCTGCAGAACCAGCGAACTCAGCTGGAGTATCACGGCTGGAATTGGCGTGAAAGCCGCATACCTCCCTGGCAGCCTTCTGGACAAAGCGCTCGTCGGTGACGCGGAAGGCGCGGCACAGGGCCTCGGCAGGGTCGTGGGGGAACATCTCCTGGCGCACCAGGTTCACGTGCAGGTGAATGGAGGCGTAGATGGCAGCATCCACCCCGCCGTGGCCATCAAACACTGCAAAGTAAGCTTGTTCTTCCTGGTCCTGTCAGTGGAAGCACAGAGCCAGGGCAGGGAGTTAGGTGTGGCAGGCCCCAGATGAGGCAGTCTCCTGCACCGCTGCCCACCCTCCTCCACTGCCCTGTCACCCAGATGATGAGACTAAATGTTTCCCTTTTCTGACATGCCTGATCCACGGCTAAAATACCAGCAGTATGAGGGCATCTGTGTTTACACACCAGAACACTGGAACACATCATGCCCAATTAGCTCAGGCTGAAGTACCCTCTCTCGCTGTGGAAGCTGTTGTCTTGTACCATGGCAACCACCCACATCCATTTGCTGTGAAGTTGCTGTTACAAGTTGTGGGGAGGGGGAGGAAAGAGAAGGGAGGAGGAGGAGTTGAGCAAAGGCTGTTCTGGATTGAAGATTTTTGTCAAAATGAAAATATTTTAATAATAAATTAGAAACTCAGGACAATAGGAAATAATTGGCCTTCCAAGTACAAGGCCAATTATGTTTGATTATTTAAAATACACAGATAATGAAAGCATACTTCGAAACTATAATATTAGCTTCATAAATCATTCATGATCACATTGTATTCTCACCATAAATAACAGTCTCTAAACAGGCTACACAAACTTGAACCACATCAGATGTCTACATGCCCTGCAGGGTTATAACCTTGTTATAGCCTTGTCCCCCAACTCAAGATGCTGCTCCACATCTCCTTGCCCACTCAGCGCCTGAAGCTGGAGGGCCACTGCAAAAGGAGGGCCTTCCACACCTGTGGTTTACCATGACACAGGACGCCTAATCATGACATTGCGTTTAATTCAGTAAGAACTTGCTGCTTCTTTCTCTTCAACTCCAGTGTTTAAATCTCAGCTCTGGCTCACTTAGAGGAGATCTGTAACTCACTGAACTCTCACTGAGCCCTGCGATTCTTTTAGAGAACACCATGTAAGGATTTTCATTTGGAAGTTTTTACTTCTTTGGGCTCTTGGAGAGTTCAGCTGAGTCCAGACCCTGTCATTCAAAGTAAATAAAATATACCAAGTAAAGCAAGATATAAAAACATTGCAAGTGTTCACCAATAGGTAAGTGAATAAAGAAAATCTGTACACACACTCACACACACACAATGGAATATTACTCAGCCATAAAAAAGAATGAAATTCTGCCATTTGCAGCAATGTGGATGGACCTAGAAAATATTATGCTTAGTGAAATGCAGAGGCAAATACTTTATGTAATCAGTTATATGTGGAATCTAAAAAATAAACCAAACAAATGTATATAACAAAACAGAAACAGACTCACAGATACAGAGAACAAATTAGTGGTAACCAGTGGGGAGGGATGAGATAGGGATATGGGGAGAGAGACATAAACTACTATGTATAAAACAAAATAAGCAACAAGCATATATTGGATAACACAGGGAATTATAGCTATTATCTTGTAGTAACTTCTAATGGAATATCATCTGTACAAACACTGAATCACTATGCTGTACACCTGAAACTAATATTATAAATCTATTATATTTTGCTTTTTAAAAAACGGATAAATAGATACGGTATATATGTATACACACACACAATGGAATAGTACTGGGCCATATAAAAGAATAAAATGTTGCCAACTACAACAACATGGATAGACTTGGAGGGTACTATACTTAGTAAAATAAGTCAGACAGAGAAAGACAAACACTGTACTATATGTTATCACTTATATGTGGAATCTAAAAGATAAAACAAATGAGTATTACAAAATGAAAGCAGGTTCACAGATACAGAGAACAAACTAGTGGCTGCCAATGGGGAGAGGGAAGTGGGGAGAAGCGAGGTAAGCGCAGGGGATTAAGAGACACAAACAGCTGTGTACAAGGTAAACAGACTACAGGACATAGTATGCAACACAGGGAATACAGCCAATATTTTACAATAACTTTAAATTAGCTTTAATCTATAAAAATTTCAAATCACTATGTTGTATACCTAAAACTAATACTATAAACCAATATATCTCAACAAACATTTTTATTTAAAAAATAACAGTAAATCTTAAAAAAATATTTATCTAGTTGGCTACCCCAGGTATTAGCTGCAGCACACAGGATCTCTGATCTTCACTGCAGCACGCAGGATCTTTAGTTGAGGGATTTGGACTCCTAGTTGTAGCATGTGGGCTCCAGTTCCCAAACCCAAGCCCCCTGCTTTCAAAGCGAGGTGTCTTAGCCACTGGACCAGCAGGAAAGTCCCCAGTAGCAGTAATTTTTTAAAATGAACTCATTTTTAAACAATTCAATTGGCAGGGTAAGGGTAAAACTTAAAATAGCATATGTAAGCAGTTTTTAAATGAGTGAGCTGATTGATATGGGATCATCACAAAGAAGGGAGCAATAATAGTCTCATGTGGGCATGAGAATATACTTTAAACAACGTGAGACTGGTGAAGAGATTCTTAAACAATATAACATCAGAAGAAACAAAGGAGCCGACTGGATCTCTTTAAAAAAAAAAATACTGGTATCTTCCCTGTTATAAAGATAATGGGTCTATGGAAGAAACCTAAATGTCCATTGACAAATGGATAGGTAAAGAAGATGTGGCGGGGGAGTGGAACGTGTGTGGTGGAATACTACTCAGCCATAAAAAAGAGTGAAATAACATAGTTTGCAGCAACAATGATGGACCTAGAGATTATCATACTAAGACAAGTAAGTCAAAAAGAGAAAGACGAATACCATATGGTATCACTTATATGTAAAATCTAAAATGTGACACAAATGAACTTATTTACAAAACAGAAAACATTCTCACAGACATAGAAAACAAATTTATGGTTAACAAAGGTGTAGGAGAAGAATAAACTAGGAGTTTGGGATTAGCAAATATAAACTGTAATATATAAAACTGATGAACAACAAAGTCCTACTATGTAGCACAGGGAACTATATTCAATATTCTATAATAAACCACAATGAAAAAAATCTGAAAAATAATTATATATATATATATTCTTCAGGGTATTTATATATAAATATAAATGAATCGCCTTGCTGTATGCTGGAAACCAACACAACACTGTAAACCCACTATATTTCAATTAGATAATGTATGTTTATTTGGACTAATAAGGAAGTGTATGCTGTGGTTCAGCCACCCAGTCACGTCTGACTCTTTGTGACCCCACGGACTGCAGGACACCAGGCCTCCCTGACCCTCAACGTCTCCCAAAGTTTGCCCAAGGTTATGACCATTGCCCAGGGTCATGTCCACTGCATCAGTGATGCCATCCAGCCATCTCATCCTCTGATGCCCTCTTCTCCTTCTGCCCTCAATCTTTCCCAGCATCAGGCACTTTAAGTGTATAGAAGGAAATAAATATCTCTAATACAACCATCCACAGATAACCAGTCTTTTTTCTATACATATAAATTTTTTAATAAAATTAGAATCATACTGTACATAACTTTTTTTAATCTTGCTTTTTGTCACTTACCATATCATTAGCATTTCCCCCATGTCATTAATAATGTCAAAGACATTATTTTAAATGGATATGTACTATACATCTTACAAGCATATCACAGCTATCATTTCCTATATAAGGTTTAGATCATTTCCAATTTTTTATTATTGATAATGTTGTGTAAAACATTTATGTCAAACAAAATATGTAAGTATTTTCTGCTTCCTTATAATATAAAATCAAAACTGAAATTATCAAAGTGTGTGAAAATTTATACAGTTCAAAATACATGTTGCCCAATTGCCCTCAAAGTCTGTTTCATCATAGCCAAGAGCTCCTTTCTGAGTTCGGCCTATGGGTTGATTTTTGAGGCAAAATGAAAACCAACCAGACTAACAAAGAGTAATGATGCCCTCGAACCTGAGCACATTCTTCAAGGGTGCAGTGACTTAAGGACTATTTATCACATTATAGCCTTTAGGCGTTATGTTTGCATGGGCATGGTATCAGCTGATCTACCCTGTAAAATAAGCACCAGTCACCAGCCCACCATCACTGCTTGACAGTCAGCTAAAATTTAACTTTAGCTGCTAAATGAAGGAAATAGTGCGCTTTGTATAAATCACTACATTGTAATTTTAAAGTTATGGACTTGAGTGAAGAGGCAAGTGACAGGCACAGGAAACAAACCTACCTCTGTTTGCATTAACATAATAGAGAAAGAAGAGGAAGATAACAAGAAAATGGTTATTAAGTTGACAAGGCTCATATGATCCAATTTGTCAGTCACAGAGATTCAGGGAAAGTAATTCCGGCTACTTTCCTATCTCAGAAACCAAGATTTTAAAAATAAAGTCATATGAAATCAGAAAACTATATCTTAGTTTCAAACTCATTCTTTTATGTTTGTGTTTTGTGTTGCTTCAGCAAAATAGTACTGTGGGAACTCAATAGACAATGTTTGATTATACTATAGAAATAGTTTCCTTTAAAAAACAGCTTTATTGAGATATAACAGTTTTCTTTTTGGTTTGTATGTTTATAGAATGTCTGGAAGGTTACACAAGGGCTGGTAACTTTGCCTCCGCAGAAGGGATCTAAAGTGTCTGAGAGACAAAGATAAGACTGGGATTGTTATTTTCCAATTCTAAACCACGTGATGCATTACCTACTCAAAAAACATGAAATAAATAGTTCTTTTCCTTTTGTCTAATGGAAGAAGCAAATCTGTGCCACTTTGCCCTTAGCCCTATTCGAAGCCATCAGGGATATTATTACAGTTTATTACAACTTCTCTTATTAGAACACAGGTCTGTGATGGGGTTTTATTTTTCCAATTTCACTGACTCATCGGAAGCGACTTTTACCTCGAGGTTGAAGAGCATATTAAAGTCAGGAATGCAGACATGTTTGTCCTCCATTTTCCTGCGCATGTTTTTGATGGCATGGATCGAGGTCTCATAATAAAGCTGGGGTCTCCTGCGGAGAGGGAAGTCTTTCACCCAGCTGCAGCAAATCTCGTGTAGTTTGCTGAAGACAGAACGGGCCAATTTCACTGTCTCAATCTCTGTGGAAGAAAGAGAGACCCCTGATGAAGAACCTTGTAAAACTGCTTTTCACTTGCCTGCCTAGGAGAGACAGAAGTAGGTCACCTTAGTCAAGCTCCGCCTTAGTAGAAGAAATTCCTCCTTCTCAAGAGAAATGAAATGTTGCTTCTGAAGAGAGAAAATGACAACCTGTGTGATAGAAAATCATCAGCCAGCAGCTGCCACTAAGATACCCTTATGTCATGAGGAGAAAACCTCTGAGCAGGGCTGGATCTATTCCTAGGCTGGAGTCCTTCCAGCCTATGAAGCTCTCTGGCCACGCTATCTACTTCGGAGCACTTCTGTTTGGCTGCCAAGGTTATCATCTGGACACCCAAGCCCCCTGTGCATAGGAAAATGACTGAAATATGAACAATGATTATCCAACAAATTGGAATATGAGAAGCTTATGAAAATATTGTTTATTTACCAGGTACAGGAATAAGAAGAGTTTGTCTCAGTCTCTTTCTTTCCTGATCTCTTCCTTTATTTTACTCCGGTTTCCTTTCTCTCCCGTAACTGATCATAATTCAGAGTTGAGCTATACATTTTTTGTTATTTGATGTATTTTTTAATTAAAGTTTTGGACAACAGCTTATATAGTTTAACCAAAAGGTTAACAAATGAATCTTAAAAGTTTGATATTTCTCTAAGGAAAATGTACTTTACATTCTGTCTCTGTGTATAACCCTAGACTGAGGAGTCTTCACCGCAGACTACTGAGTCTCCTACTTGGCCCATTCCGTGGAGTGGACTAGCTCACTTCTGAGTCTCCCTGCGTCCCTCAGTGGATGGACAGATGTGTAAGCTCTCAAGCAACACTGACGAGTACTCAGGAGACTGTATCTCACATCATCTCCACTCAAGCTGTCCTCTACCCAAGTTGCAGCAGTTGAAATAACCAAGGGAAGATTAGGTTTTCCCAGGCCAGTAATTTAGAAGTTCCCCCTATATCCCGGTAAAGTGAAGTGAAAGTCACTCTGTTGTGTCCAATTCTTTGCAACCCCGTGGACTGTAGTCTGCCAGACTCCTCTGTCCATGGGATTCTCCAGGCAAGAATACTGGAGTATGCTGCCATTCCCTTCTCCAGGGGACCTTCCCAACCCAGGGGTCTGAACCTGCGTCTCCTGTATTGCAGGCAGATTCTTTACTGTCTGAGCCACTAGTAATTTAGAATTCTCAAAAAACTGTTTTTCACTTTACTAAGTCAGATACAGCTTGACAGGCTGAGAAGATGTGTACCAGATGGGCAATGGCTGCACACGCCTCTTCGGATCTAGAGCACAAATCTCAAAGAAGAGAGACTGTGTGTTCTAGAATGGCCTGGGAACTGAGATTCCCATTCTTTTTTTTCATTCTCCACCCTGCTGCTGCCTTAATCTGTAACTTTACCTGTTTTCTTATTCAAAATTCTTTTTTAAATGACTATATTCAGAAAGCTGGTCTCAAGGTTTTTGTTGCTTTTATTTTTCTCATTGACATAGTACACGGTGGCAAACCATGTATGTGACTTTGTTTCCTTTGCCATTTTTATCTAACTGAAAATCAAGGGTACATTTGGAAGAGAAAAAAAGTTCAAAGAGCAAAAGAGGTGTGTATAAGGGAAAAACTGAGGCCAGCAGACAACCTAACATTTTGATTATTTTTAGCAACTCCAATCTTCTTGTTTGTTTAAAGCACCAGTTGCCAGAGACTGTCTCTTTCAGCCAGCAATTACCTATTTCTATCACTTTCAACCCATCTGGTCTCTGCAACAATATATTGCCCCAAATCCAGACTGTTTATTTGGGTATGCATTTGACTCAAACACAGGGGAAGATTGCAAAATAATAAGTAGAGTTCAGAAACTTTCAGGTAGCATGGGGTGAGATGAAACAAATGACTGATATTATCAGGATAGTTTCCAGGCTCTCAGATAATAATATAAAACATATCATATTTTGGTTTATTACTTTTTATCTCACTATATGGGTTTCCCTGGTAGCTCAGACAGTAAAGCGTCTGCCTACAATGTGGGAGACCTGGGTTCGATCCCTGGGTCGGGAAGATCCCCTGGAGAAGGAAATGGCAACCCACTCCAGTATTCTTGCCTGGAGAATCCAATGGACTGAGATCCTGGTAGGTTACAGTCCATGGGGTCACAAAGGGTCGGACATGACTGAGCGACTTAAAAAAAAAAAATCTTACTATATAGACCTCTACTGTCCAACAGAGTAGCTTATTAGCTACATGTGGCTAGTTAACTTTAATTAAAATTACATAAAATTTAAAACTCAGTTTTTGGTCACATTAGCTATATTTCAAGTACTCAGCAACTATATATGGCCAGTGGCTACCACACTGGACAACGTGCAGATAGAGAACATTTCCATCATGTCTACTGCACAGCCTGGGTGTAGACAGATTAAACTGGTCAAGGGAAACAATACCAGCTTCCTCTATTATTTAGTAACCTGCTAGATCTGTCTTTGTTCGCACCAGCTACTACAACTCTGATCACACTTTTAAGCAAAAGATCACATTTACTGAGTATCCGCTACATTCTGTGTCTCTGGACTGTTTCACAAACAGGCAATACCACGCTCAATCCCGGGTCTATCTGACTCACACCATGCTCCACTTTTCCCAAGTTAGATTGCACATGGACACTGTATTTTTACTGTCCTTGATTAGTCATAGTATAGTACCTAGCAGATAGCAGAAGCTCTAAGGATGTTGACCAAATAAATGAATAAGCAAACATAAAATTAAATAACCACTAATAAAGTATTTGTTTGCTTCCTGGTTGTTAATTCTGCTTCCTTGATCTCTCCAACTGTTTCTGCAATGATGCCATTCTTTAAAAATTACTGTAACTCTAAAACATGCTTTAATATAAGGAGGACTGACTTTTCTATTATTATTAACTTTAAAGATGTCACCTGCATAGTTCAACATGTTTATTCTTCCAGATGAACTACTTATTTTGCCAAGTTTGTGGGGGAAATATGTTGCCATTATGTTTGGGATCACACTGAATGAATTTACAGAGTTATATGGAAAAAATTGACTTCTTTTTCATATTAAGTCTTATTCAGGAACAAGTTATACTGTTTCATTAATTGAAATCCATTTTATCTTGCTCAATAGTGTTTTAACATATGTCCTATTTCTTACTGAAATTTTCCTAGTTATTTTACTTTATTTGCTACTTTGAGTCAGAACTTTGTTTTAATGTGTTATTTGGCACCTAGCAAACATTCCTCTTTCTATCAATACTTTCTTCTCTACTCTCAGTCCATGTGCGTCAAGGGGTAAAATATGATTCAGGTCTAACCAGTTAGAGACCACATTCCTCTGGCCATAGTTATTGGTTCAGCAAAGGTAAATAAACCAGGATGGACTGATTAGAGTGAATCCTGTGACTTATGTAAGAGCAACTGAGTAGTTACTCTTATTTTCCTGCTTGATTTGAACCTGGGCAGATGAAGATCTGATGCTCCTAGCAGTCATTTTGCCATCCCATGGAGCCTGAAAATAAAATCCAAAGGAGAGAGTACAGCTGAGAGTTGGAGAAATGCCAGGTCTTTATGACATCATGTGAAGCCTTGAATCTAGCTGTGTAGCCCTTATCTTGAAGGATAGCCAATAAATTGTTTTGCTGAAGCCAGGGGTTACTTGCAACTAAAAAATTCTTGAGTATATACTCTAAACATGCATACTAGGTTTTTGGTTTAAGCCAAATTTTGCCCTACAATGTCCAGTGCTATTCTATTAAGTATATTTTAAAAATTAGAAATAAATATTAAATTTTATCAAATGCTTCTTTGGACGTCCTCAGAGATTATTCTGTTTTTTTCTTTTGAGCTATTAATATAAAAATTATGCTAATCAATGCCCCAATATTTTTTCCCCGGCTGTTTCCTAAGTAACATAGTGCTAAGCTATAGTAGGCCCTCAATAAAATACTCATCAAATTGTCATACTAAGTATACAAATATTTCACTTAAGATTTTTCACATTGATTATTGACTCATCTCTTATTTCTTGGTTCTGTCTCAGCCAAGTTTAAGTATCAGTGTTATGCTATGCAAATTTTCCTCTTTCCCCATATAACTGGATAATTCATTTTAAAAAGCAATGGAATTACTGTCTTTGATTGTTTGAAAACATTCACCTATAGAATCACCTACTCTTTTTGTCCTTTTTGCCAATCTTCTCAATCTCTTTCTGCTTAGATAAAGTTGTATTAATTTGTATATTTCTAGAACATACCCAGGTTTTCAAATTTATTTATATAAAAATTTTCATAATTCTTTTAATATCACCTGTATTAGTGATCATTTTCACCTTATTTTTAATTTTTACATTAAGATATTTTGCATTGATTTTAGATAGTCTGGACAGGAGTTGTATCTGTCAACAGAAATGCAACATTGTTTAAGAAACATTCTGTTAGGGATGGCATAAACATAAAAAGAACTTTAAGATAAAGTTTCTTGAAGTCTGTTTTTTAGAAATACCTAAGACAAGAGTCACAGGGCATTTCAGTGGGGACTTCCGTGCCTTTAAGGGAACGACAGCAAGCATTACTCAGTATGTTCATCCCCACTCTGCGGTATGGACAAACACAATATGCCCTGTAGAGATTCTCCACTCAGTGATTTGGGTTAAACAGATTAAGGACATGCAAATAGTTTGGAACTATAATAGATCATTCTGAATCACAGCAGTGGCATGGAGACATTACTGGGTAATCTCTTGGAAAAATATAACATCAGGATGACTAATATCCACCACAAGAAAATCCCTGCCTTTCACATTTGCTACCTTACAGGGGTTCAGAAAATTCTTCCAAGCTAGGCACACAGGGCAACACTTCAATCTTAAGTATTCTCCTTATACAGGAAGTGGTGTAAGAACATCAGTATATAAATAATTGCTGCTTGAAATGGAAAAATAAAATCAAATAAAAAAGGGTCCAAAAAAGGGAAAATGGTCCAAAGTAGCAGTCCACCCCCTCACAGCTGTAAATTACTCATCAGTCGTTAATGTCAGTGTACTGAGCTGGAGCTGAGTCAGTCATCACCCCGGCTGCAGTGAAGCAGAATTTAATCTCCCTCATCTTTTCATTACAGGGCTTCTACTTCATGCATCAGTACGAGAGGAAAGACCAATGTTTTTCAGCAGGAATTCCATCCAGCTTGACTCTGGAACAATTTGGTTCCAAGTGAATCAATTACTCTCAGTAAAAACAAGAGGAATTCCTTCCTTGCCAGCTTTCTATCAAAAATTCTCTAGAGAGATGAAGGAAGAACAGGAATGTTTATTTTTATATCTGCCTCACATTCTCTGGAATCTAGCTGCCCTAATTCATTAATATATGTTTTGCTCCCTCTGTCCCATGTTTAAAGGCAAATGCTTAAAATGGAACAAACAGAATGAAACATTAAAATTCCTCAACAATTCCTCATTCCCTAGTTTTTACAAAAAATGGTATTTTTTTAATGTGTTAAATATGTATAAGCCTAATACATTAATAAACATGCCTTCATTAATAAGCATTCTCATAATTTAACTGAAAAAGATGCCCATGCAATTAAACCACATAATTGTCATAAAGAGCTCTTTATTTATTGGTAGATGTAAAAAAATTGTGACTAATTTTATTTACTTATTTATTTAATCTCTGGCTCTGCTGGGCGCGCCGTGCGCCACCGGCTTTTTTCTAGCTGTGGCGAGCAGGGGCTACTCTCTAGCCGCAGTGCACGGGCTTCTCGCTGGGCTGGCTTCTCTGGTTTTTGAAGCCACCAGGGAAGCCCGGCAGACATAAAATTTAATATGATTAATGAGAAGTTTTGTAACGACCGATCTCCTGAATTTGTATATCTGATTTTTTTTTACTTGACCTCTTAAAGATGAATTAAAACTTTAAAATAGATTTTTCTCAAACCACCCCTTCCCTTCACTTATTCATCTTTTTTGTTGTGTCTTCACATTTCTCCCTCCTCTTCATTTACCTAGATATTATTTATGATAACACATTGTTATCATAATCTCCTGTTCCAGATAACTGCACATGGCTTCAAAATATGCCTGTATTTTCCCCTTCTACTTTTACTGATTGGTTTGAAAAAAACATGTTTCTGAAATTTTTCTCTTGCTACCACTATAAAATATCAACCAGTGGGTAAACATAATTAGATATAGTATTCTGTAGATAATTTCTATGGATCATTCAACAGAAAATTTTAATATTTAAAAACAAATACTGTAGAAAGGTACTTGCCTACAGTCCCTTCTGTGCCATCTGTTTCCTTTGGAATATAATGTGCAGAAAGATCACTCTGAAGGACTTCGTCTGATGTGGCTCTGGCTAAAGCGGCAGCCAAAAATGAAGGGCAGTTACTGAAAGAAAACAATAAATGGTTATTCAGCAAGAATTAGAAACATCCCATTTAAAATTATTACTAATTACTTTATTATTAACATATTGTTTCAAAACAAAATTATACCTTTAAACAACAGTCGATGCACATTTCTTATGCTACGCACTTTGCCAAGCCACTGGGTTATATAGTGGTGAATTAACACAGACATGGCCCCTGACTTTGTGGGGCTTACAATCTGGTTAGGGAGACAGATGATGAATAAGTAAACAAATAGGATATAATTTCAAGTTGGGATAACTTTTATAAGGGAAACAAATAGGATAGAGGGCATTAAAGAGAAGTACCTACTTAGAATAGTCAGGAATGCCTTACCTTAAAGGACAAGAAAGACTCAGTTATATGGGGGTGGGATTCGGGGACAGTATTCCAGGCAGAGAAAACAGCATGTGTTCAGACCCTTTCTGAGAGCAAGGTATGTCTGAGGAACTGGAAGAGGTCCAGGAAGATGAAGCGCAGCAGGTAACGGGGAGAGCGGTGAGGAATGAGGTCAGAGGAGCGGGAACAGGCCAGTTATATGGATCTCTTGGATGGTAAGGAATTTGGATTTTACTCAAAGTGCAGGGGGAAGTCACTGATGATTATAAGCAAGAGAGGATCATAATCAGATAGAGTAAATAAAATCATATGCTGACTGCTGGGTCAAAGGGAACTGGCAGGGAGCAGGAGTGAAGGAGAGTGATCAATGAGGAGACTGCTGTAATCCAGATGAGACTTTTTAAAAGTGATTACGTTTTAGAGAAAGAAAATATAGAATTTTATTATTATTGTATGCAGACGTGAATGGCGGCAACATTCACCTAGATGGAGAAAACAAGAAAAGACAGATTTGTGGAGGAAAAGGGTAAAGTAGAAAATGAGAATTCATTTTAGCCATGTTAAATTGGAAAAAATCTCTGCAATATCCTAGTGAAGGTGTCAAATGGTCAATTATATATTTTAGTGTGGAGCTAAGAGATGTAAGGAAATTTGGAAGTCATGAATGTATGGATGGTATTTAAAAGTAGAGAAATAAAGGGAAACTCCCTGGTGGTCCAATAGTTAGGACTCCCGCACTTCCACTGCAGGGGGCAGAGGTTCCTTTCCTGGGTGGGGAACTAAAGATCTCACAAGCTGTGCAGTGTAGCTAAAAAAAAAAAAAAAAATTTAAACTATGGAAATAGAATAGATCACATAGAGAAAACAAAAAAAGAGAACTGCTATGGACCAGTGACTTCTATGTGCCACTGTTTTCCCCCTTTGGAAACAGTTAAGTGCCTCCCCCACATGCCCCCCGTATTTTCGGTAGTGGCAGGGAAGGGGTGGATAACATGCCTCTGTGGTCCCTAGGTGCCAAAATCAAACGGGAGTATACTCAGGGAGCTGTCGTCAAGAAGTGACACCCAAGGACCCTCATCTGGACCTGACCTCACTGAGATCCTGAACCTCGAGCCTGAGTCTGATGCCATTAAGGGAGGAAATTCTGGGAGACTCTGAGGGGAGGGGTGAAGGTTTTTTGCATGTGGGAGGGATACAAACTGTGTGGCCAGAACAGACTGTGGCAAATTGTTTTCCTAAAAAAGATCAGAGCAATATTTCTGGTGCTACGAGCTCTTTAAGAATCTTACCATTATACATGAAAGTGAATGAGCCTTTAAATGAAAAAAGAAGTGGCAAAAGTGATGCTGTGTGGCTCCTGAGGTTTGGTCATAAAAGGCTACATGACTTTCCCCTGGCCTTCTCGTCTCTCTTCCTTCACTTTCTCCTTTTCCTCCCCCTCCTCCTCCTTCCCTTCCCCCTGGGACACAGGTTCATGTGGGTGTTAGCTGAGGCTTCCAGTCAAGAGCTGTTATTATCAATTGCTTGACACGGTAACAGCACAGACCTTCAGAAGATACCAGTACCAGCCTGAATCTTCCAGCTGAGGCCCCAGACATTACGGAACAGAGAAAGCTGAGCCTGCTTTGTCCAGTCATAATGCTCAAAGAAACTATGAGTATAATTAACGACTGTTTCCTGACACTAATTTCTGTGCTAATTTATTACACAGCCATAATAACTGAAAACCCAACATTTAGAAGCTTAGCAGAAGATAAGGAACCTATAAACACTGAAAAGAAATAGCAAGATAAGTAAAAGGCAAACCAAAGGAGTAGAATATTTGAGTGAAGGCAGGGTCAATTGCATTCTACTGAGAAGTCTGATAAGGGAAAATTAGATACTGAATTTAATAACATGTAAATAGATCATCACTGACTGGGTGCCAAGATAATTCAATGGGGAAAAAATAGTCTTTTCTACAAATGGTGCTGGAACAATTGTGATATTCACACACCAAATAATTAATTTAGCCTCTTTCCTTACACCATATACAAAAATCTACTCAAAATGGATCACAGACCTAAATGTAAGAGTTAAACTATTAAAATCTTAAAAGAAAGCATAGGGGACTTCCCTGGTAGCACAATGGAAAAGAACCTGCTTGCCAATGCAGGGGACACAGGTTCGATTCCTGGTCGGGGAAGATTCCACATGCCTCGGAGCAGCGAAGACTGGGTGCCACGACTACTGAGCCCGCACTTCAGAGCCTGACCTCGGCAACAAGAGCAGCCACAACAATGGGAGGCCCGGGCACCACACCTGGAGAGTGGCTCCCACTCACCACAACTAGAGAAAGCCCTTGCACAGCAGTGCAACCGGAAATAAATAAAATTATTGAAAAAAAAAGAAAGCATAGGAGTAAAACTTCGTAACTCTGGATCAGGCAATGGCTTCCCTAAATATGACACCAAAATTACAAGCAACAAAAGGAAAAAATGAGTTAAATTGAACTGTATCAAAATTTAAAACTCTCATGCCACAAATCAAGAAAGTGAAACAACAACTCACAACAGTAGAAATATGAATCACATATCTGAAGAGGAGCTGGCATTCAAAATATATAAAGAACTCTTCTAACTTAATAATAAAAAAGACAATGCTATTTTAAAATGGGCAAAAGACCTGAATAGTACTTCTCCACAAAGAAGATACACAAATGGATGATACATGAAAGATACATGAAAAGATGCTCAACCTCATCAGCTGTTAGGGAAATGCTAATCAAAACCACAGTGAACACTGGGTTCACTGCAATACTGTTTACATAGCCAAGATACAGAAGCAATCTTAATGTCCATCAACAGAGGAATGGATGAAGATGTGGTACAATGGAATATTACTCAGCCATTAAAAAGAATGAAATAATGCCATTTGTAGCAACATGGATAGACCTAGAAAGTGCCATACTGAGGTGAAGTGAATCAGAGAAGGAGAAATATCATATGACATCCCTTATAGGTGGAATCTGAAAAGAAAACATACAAATGAACTTACTTACAAAGCAGAAAGAGACTTACAGACTTAGAAAACAAACTTACAGTTGCCGAGGGGAAGGGATAGTTAGGGACTTTAGAAAGGTCATGTACACACCGCTATATTAAAATGGAGAACCAACAAAAACCTGCTCAATGTTATGTGCCAGCCTGGATGGGAGGGGGGCTTGGGGGAGAATGGATACATGTATATGTATGACTGAGTCCCTTCACTGTTCATCTGAAACTACCACAACATTGTTAATCAGCTATACCCCAATCCAAAATAAAAAGCTTAAAAATAAAACCTATCACTAAAGGTTAATAAACACAGAAAAATAACCACAATGGGATACCATTTCAAACCCACATGATGACTATCATTAAAAAGGCAGGTAATGAAACAAGGATTGACAACTATGTGGAAAAATCGGAAACTCTCATGTATTTCTGGTAGGAAGGTAACATGATGCAGGTGTTTTTGGCAGTCCTTAAAATGTTAAACATAAAGTTACTAAATGGACCAGCAATTCCACTCATAGGTATATATCCAAAAGGAATGAAAATAAGGCTTTCCCTGGTGGTCCAGTGGCTGAGATTCCATGCTCCCAGTGCAGGGGGCCCGGGTTTGATACCTGGTTAGGGAACTAGGTCTCACATGCCGTGCTAAAGATTCTGCACACCATAACAAAGAACAGAGATGCCATGTGCTCCAACTAAGACCCACCAGTGCAGCCAAATAAATAAATAAACATTACCCCCCCCAAAAAAAAACCTCAAAAGAAATGAAAATACACATCCACACAAAAACTTGTACATGAATGCTCATAACAGTATTATTCATAATAGCCAAAAAGCATAAACAACCAAATGTTCATCAACTGATTATGGATAAATAAAATAGGTAGTATATTCATCAGCCAGAAAAGAATGAAGTATTAATATATGCATAGTATTAACACAACGTAGATGAAACTTGAAAACATTACAGGAAATGACAGAACCTGGTCACAGAAAACCACATACTGTAATATTCCATTATATGAAAAGTTCAGAATTGACGAATCTATGGAAATAGTAGAGTAGTGGTAGGCTAGGGCTGAGGAATGAAGTGAGAAGGGAACTACTGCTAATGGGGAGGGGGCTTCTTTTGGGGGTGATAAAAATGTTCCAGGGACTTCCCCGGTTAAGAATCGTAGCCTTCCAATGCAGAGAACTAAGATTCAATCCCGGGCCAGGGAACGACGATACCACATGCTGCAGTGCAATTAAGTCTGTGCGTTGTGACTGCTGAGCCCGAGGGCACTGGAGGCCCGGCGCACCGCAACTACGATCGACTCAACGCAGCCGAATGGTGGTTTCAGTGTATTGAGAACGGTTTCACCATCACTCTAACCTGTGGTTCAGAGCAACTGAAAAAATATTTATTCTAATACATAAATACAGTCTTAATATTCAAAATCTTAGATTATAGTGATGGTTAAACCATTCTGAATATACTAAAACCACTGAATAGTATAAATGAGTAACTTTCATGGTATGTGAGTTACATCTCAGTAAAGACAGTTGGAAAAATCACTGACTTTGTTAAGAAACACTGAATAGTGGAAGTGACAATCAGATTAGAATGGGTTAGTAAAGGAGGGGCAAGGAGGTGTGACAATGGACAGAGTGGCATGGTAACTTAAAGGGGACCTGGGCCAGGGGAAGTCTGCTGCTTTAGAATGCTGTGGAATCTGACCACATACTAAATGATGTCATCCAAAACGAAAGACTGAGATACTGTGGGAGAGAGGGTGTGACCAAAGGAGCAAAGTTCTCGAGAAGGCGAGAATGGATGAGGTGCAATCCGGACATGGAAACCCTGACCTGACAGGATGTGGCACACTTCCTTAGCTGAAAAAGGAAAGAAGAAAACGGATACAGAAGCAGGTAGGTTTCCAGATTTCTTAGTAGGAAAATAACAGAATTCCCATCTAATGGTTTGATTCCACCATAACTTATTGCGGCTTACAGTGTGGAAGGCACTGTTCGTGCTCAGGATATACATAACCAAAAAAGACAAAACTCCCTATCTGTGGAGCTTACATTCTAGAGAATGGTTTCCCAATGAAGTATGAAGCTAGATCGGTAGTTCTCAAACTGTTACATGGATCAGAATCACCTCCATGGCTTGTTAAAATACAGATTTTTGGGCGCAATCCTCAGTTTCTGACTCAGTAGGCCTGGAGCAGGGCTTCAGGATTTTCTTTTCTAACATGTTGTGGTGCTGGAGAAGACTCTTTGAGAGTCCCTAGGACAGCAAGGAGATCAAATCAGTCAATCCTAAAGGAACTCAACCCTGAATATTCACCGGAAGGACTGATGCTAAAGCTCCAATAGTTGGCCACCGATGAGAAGAGCCAACTCATTGGAAAAGATTCTGATGCTGGGAAAGATTGAAGGCAGGAGAAGAAAGGCAGAACAGAGGATGAGGTGGTTGGATGGCATCACCGACTCAATGGGTTTGAGCAAACTCTGGGAGATGGTGATGGACAGGGAAGCCTGGTGTGCTGCCGTTTACGGGGTCACAGAGTCAGACACGACTGGTGACTGAACAACAGCAGCGTGTTCCCCACTGATGCTTATGCTGCTGGTCTGGAAACCACATTCTGAGAACCACTAGGTTAGGTCATCAGCTGAGTGGTGACAGCAGAAAGCATGTGGGGGAGAAGGGATGTAGAGAAAGTAAATATGAAATATCATTCAACAGTGCTAAGAGATTGTTTGAAGTTTGAGACACTTTTTAAATTAAATCAGTCCTTCTGCTTCTATAATCATAGAATAGGTGATTTCTCTACCTGTGTTCATGTGCCATATATAACATGTGTGGGTAAAAAGAACTCTAGTTCATCAAGATTTGAAGTTTTTGCAAGGTGAGTACTATTAAGCAAAGATTTGGAAGTTGAGCAACTTTTAAAGGACATGATTACAATGTTAGACCATGAACTCTAACTTGGCTGAGAAAGAAAGAACAGATATGAGTTGTAGATCAATGTGGTCTAAATGCAATTAAAGAATTGTAGTGGGAATACTTGGACACATAATCTAAAAGGAAAGAATGCTGTAGTCTGAGAACAAGATACTTGAATGTATGATTTTGGAGCTGGTGCAATTTTTATAACAAGGTTTAGGTGGGACCAAGAAAGTGAGTGGCTTAGAAACAGACAATATGGCAAAGTTCACATCCTAAGTCCCCAAGAAAACTTTGAAAATTTCGTTTATCATTCATCAGTATTTTTCAAATTGTAGATTATGATCCATTAGTGGGTAATTATATCAACTTATGAATTGTGAGCCACATTTTTTTTTTAAAAAAAGGAAACAGAATAAGATATAGGAGGTAAGGCTAAGTATTCCAGATATATATTAGGGAAGTATATACCGAATCCTGATTATGATGAAAAAAATTTAAAGTTACTGCATTTTACCAGACCACCTGACCAGTCTCTTGAAAAACCTGTACGCAGGTCAGGAAGCAACAGTTAGAACTGAACATGCAACAACAGACTGGTTCCAAATAGGAAAAGGAGTACATCAAGGCTGTATATTGTCACCCTGCTTATTTAACTTATATGCAGAGTACATCATGAGAAACGCTGGGCTAGAGGAAGCACAAGCTGGAATCAAGATTGCCGGGAGAAATATCAATAACCTTAGATGTGCAGATGACACCACCCTTATGGCAGAAAGTGAGGAAGAACTAAAAAGCCTCTTGATGAAAGTGAAAGAGGAAAGTAAAAAAGTTGGCTTAAAGCTCAACATTCAGAAAACTAAGATCACGGCATCCCGTCCCATCACTTTACACGGCAGATAGATGGGCAAACAGTGGAAACAGTGGCTGACTTTATTTTTCTGGGCTCCAAAATCACTGCAGATGGTGATTACAGCAATGAAATTAAAAGACGCTTACTCCTTGGAAGGAAAGTTATGACCAATCTAGACAGCATATTAAAAAGCAGAGACATTACTTTGCCAACAAAGGCCTGTCTAGTCAAGGCTATGGTTTTTCCAGTGGCCATGTATGGATGTGAGAGTTGGACCATAAAGAAAGCTGAGCACAGAAGAATACATGCTTTTGAACTGTGGTGTTGGAGAAGACTCTTGAGAGTCCCTTGGACTGCAAGGCGATCCAACCAGTC